AAATGACTTATTTCTTTTCCTTTGGTTGTCCTACCCAAATTAATCCATCTTTCATGGCACCTGTATGGCAAATTATATTGCTTTTGTTTATATCTTTTTTTGGTTAAATATAGGCTGTATGCATTAATGAAGATTAATTTATTTGCAGAGGTAAACGTACATGCAAGTATTCTTTCCAAATATTAAGCAAGGCAACAAATTTTCTGTTACTTTTTGGGCCAAAAAATTAACCAGAATAATATGTAAAATATACCCATAATTTTGTACACTAGTCATCATATAGAAGAGATTACCTGAAGAGGAAAGAGATGAATGAGCTAACCTCCATGAAAGGAGCTCCTAAGCAGCACAGGAGTAGGTAGTATCAATGAAAAACTAAGAAAACTTAAAGGAAAATTCATAAAAAGGACAAGATAATAATGCCTTGTGATTAATGCAAAGTAATATATAACTCTTTTCAACAAATTAATTTGTTTAATATAAGATGCAATGTCTCTTTTTGTCTCCCTCAATCTATATTTCCCTTGCTTTCAACGCATTTTTCCCTTTTTTTTTTTTTCTTCCTATAAAAAACTTCTCTTAAACCTTGCTATACTTGATTAATAACTTGTTTAGTTTAAGGGAAAACAATGAGAGGGGAGAGGAGAGAAAATTATTATAACCAATTAAATTATTTTATTAGATTAAATACTTAATTTAATTAATTAAAATAATAAGTAGGGTTACTTTTTTTTTCTTCTCTCTGTTTCCTTCAAACTAAACATATTATAAGAGTTGAGGTTTACTCTTTGCTCATAAGGGTTTTTTCACTTAAACTATGAGAATTACAAATTAAAACAATTCTTCTAGTTTTTTCATATTTTAAGTGAAACAAATTTTTTTTTTAGTCTAACCCTATTACTATTCTTTAATTGTAATTATCCATCCTATCACTAAAACTTTTTAAAAGTAATATAATTAAACAAATGAATTGTCTCCAAAATCTTATTCTAAGAAAAAATTTAAAAAATTTACTATTATTATGGGATAGAGAAAGTAAAATTAATAGTAAAAGCTATACTTTAGAAATTACAAATTTATACCTTCTACTTCTATTACTCTATAACTGGAACCAACTTTTGAAAAAATCATAAGCAGTTTTAATAAAACTTTTGAAAAAAAATATAAGCACATTTAGTAAAGGGTTTTCTAACCTATACTTTAAAAATGTTTTCAATTATAAATGTATATAAAAAAAATATAAAAACTGACATTAATTTTAGTGTTAGTATTAAATGTGATTTTAATTGGACAATTAATAAATTAAATGTTGATTTTTATTTTTTTCAATACAAGTTTATAACAAAAATATATATTTAATATATTCTTAACATGTGTTTTTAAGGCACAAATTAGATAAATTCTTAATAAATTTCTTTTAGTTTGACTTCATTTTTTTTTTTTTCAGAAATTTGATCATATAGACACTATGGAGAACCTGATGAATTATGAAGAAATATCTCAAGAAAGGTGGAGGGGTTTCTTCAAAAGCCAAACTTTAAGTTGACTGGAGGGGGTTGAAATTAAGCTGAAACCTTGCTAATGAAGAGAAGGAAATAGTTTAAAATTAGTCAAAACCACAAAGAAGGGAGATGGTGGAGAGGTGTTGGGTCTTTTATCTGATTTGTTGTACTTGCACACTTTCGCATCATATCATCCTTCACAAGCTAGGTATTGTTTATTAATTTATCCTAATTGTTGTTTTTCATGTGCCTATATAACTTATATAAATACACATATAATATGGTTGAACAGACAACATCAATGATTTATTTCATGTATTTTTTTTTTTTTGGTATATTCTGTGAGTTTGTAAAATTCATATAAAGTAACATGAACTACTGCTTGTTTTTTGGCTGCATGATTGAGGTTTAGAATTATATAACACCAATTATTTAGATTTTCTATCTACTCTTTTTTTTTTCTTTTTCTCTTTTTTTTTTTTCTATGTCGGCATAAGAAGCCCCACTTTTTATATCAATGAATTACATCATAAACAGCTAAAAATTTGTCTGTTATTAAGGCAAAAACCTCATATGAAATGTTTCATTTGATTAAAAAAAAGTTATTAGATGTTCTCTAATAATAAAATCAAATAGGATTAACAACTTTAAATTAACAATTGTAAATTTAAATCATAAAATATGTGAAATATTATATTATAAAAGAGAAAACTCTTTGTAATTGTTGTACACATCATTAAATGTAAATATATATACACACACTGCATTTGAAGGCATTAATAATTTGAAAATAACCTTGAATATTAGGTATTAAAAGGGCCTTTTTTTTAAAAAAACTCAATTATAAGAGTTAAACGTGGGGACATTTTGATAAAAAAATAGGGAAACCAGAGGTGGGAGAAGAAGATGGGTGACACTATAGTAGAACATAAGCAATGATTAAACCACAAACCAACAATTAGGAACCAATGAAGAACTCACAAAGAAACCGACTAACCCTAATGATTTTCCCATCATCTAACTTTGTTTTGACATGATAGAGATGTGATTTTTTTAACAAGATCCCATTTTGTTAAGCTATGGCTGCTAATATAAAAATTGAAATGATGCTTAGTTTGAACTTTGTAGGCATGTGACTTAAGGCACACTCCAAAAGCACAAGTGGTTCAAAAGGAAGCACGACACAAGCCCACTGAGTGGTGTCTTTTATGTTAATTAATTGGTGTTAGTTTGTTCACTTTTGGTGATTATAATAGGCCTTGATCTGGACACTTCAACTTTACAACACTACTTCTGGTTTTAGCTCTTTCAAATCCCACTTTTTTTAAAAAGCTTGCGAGTTGTGACTATGTCCTTTCAACACCCTTTTCCTCCCTTTCTTCCCTTTTGCCTTCCAAATATTTGTGACTATTTAATTACCCATTCCGCATTTGCTTAAAAATGTGTTTGTTTTGCTAATCAAATGTTTAAAGGGGTTTAAGATTTGATAATGATTCACTTACCAACGTTTTGTTGACAACAATCACTGGTTTCAAACAAAAAGGTATATTGATTCTTTCTCTATATCCGTTAAGTAAAAAGAATTAATAACATTTCTGTCACATTACGTGTTAATAAATGTTGCTACCAAATCTTTTTTGTCTCAGTCAGGTCTCTGGGATATTCCTCTTTGCTGCATGAAAAGTGCTTTTTTTTTTTCTTATTTATAGTTAGGTATCCCCAAAAAATTAATTTTTCCTCAAGTAATCATAAAAATTTGTTCTTACATCCGTTTAATATATTTAAAAAAATTAATTTTTTAAGTGTTGACTTTAATACTTTAATTTAAATTTGATTTATAAAATAACACTTATTTATTAATAAATTAAACCTTGTTGTTTACGAAAAGTGTGTCTAATATGAGTTTTGATCTCTGAAATGCATCCTCATTGGTTGTACAAAAGTAAGTATTGGAATCCTAAGTTACAATCGAGTGGTTTAGAGAAAGAGGCTGGCTGGCTCTTTGTTCTGTCAAATGAGGAGACGTTGTGCTTGTAAACTCCTTTAAATCCTGAACCTCAAATTAATAATTTGGTACCTCAAACCTAAGATTCTTGATTCTGGGATTAGCATAAGATTCAAAGCTCTAATATGTCTAAATCTAAGGAACCTCATCTTTGATAAAAATTCAAAATATATGTGAAATATCGAATCTCTGATGTTCACCAAAAGATGTCCATTCATGGGACATACGGCATCAGGGTAATGAAGAGATTGCAGAAATTGACCCTCATATATTGCCATAAATCAGGGATCCAGACACCAGAGATATAGCCATATTCAGTTGACAACTTACATAGCATAAGCCACATATACCAACTCAAGATTCGCACAGTTACTTGCTATTTAAGCAGGGAGTAAAGATATACAAAGTCATCTTGTCCAGAGTGGGACTAGTTAATGTCTTTTCACGGAATAGCACAAGCTCAACATTTCTAACCGTACTCAATTGCAAAACATGAGCCATCAGATGAATGACTTATGTAAATGCTTGATATAAAGAGCCTGCCTTTACATTTAGGAAGCCCCTCATTTAATGGTTTATCTTCTCTAGTCTGGGATTGCACAATTTTGTTCGACAAGTAACATTTGATTGAAATATAAATCAATTCTTTCTTCTTGGTATTTCAGGCAGAAAAGAGTCCCATATCAGAACAGTTCTAATTCAGCCCCTTGAATATCTTAGTCTAAAGCAGTATTGTAAATTTCAAAATCTACTTGGATTCTGCATTATTGTCTCATTCCATTTGAGCATAAGGATTGACGGCAAAACAAGCAAAACACATTATACGTATGGCCAGCAATTAGCGAGCTACACTACAAAAAACTAAACATAATAGCACCTTCAATCCATTTTAGTGGTTGCTTTGACCTTATGTTTATAATGTTTTTATATGGCATATGAATGACAATTGAATTTTCTTTTATCAATTGATACCATTCAAACAATAAACAAAGAGAAAAAAAATTCAATTGCCATTTGTTTGCCATATGGATTGATGGTCGAAAAAAAAATTAAGCAACAGATGGATGAATATCGCAGCAAAAGAGAAAGTGTCATTACTTTAAAACAAATAACAAAATATTCTTAGTCAAACAACAAACTCTAAGTTCAAGGTAACTAAAAACATCATAATAAAGCTCTTCATTAATCAAAAACCACTATTAGGTTCATACTTGAGGAAGATTCTTTGCCCCCTTAATATTTGATTCTTCAGCGGTACTGAAAAGAGAAAAAAATTCATGGTATAAGAAAACACTAATTTGGAAGTATTAGAATCAGCTAAAAATACAGAAGGTCCAGCAGAAATGCTACCTTAATGAAGCCAATTTCCTTGGCATTGCTGCGGAAGCACTGTCTGCAACACATAAGACCATACTTCCTGATCAACCCATGAGGGTTTCCGCACACACGGCTACCAACACAAAAGCACAACACACGTATAAAGATAAAAAATTTTAAAGAATTCTTATCAATACCAAAACATGACACCCATAATTCTAGACCAATAACAACCAATTGCTAAGAGCTTAAAACAAATCAAAGAAAAACCTTGCTCAGCATTTCGACCATGATCAAGTATTGTATATATATATATATATATATATATATATTTTCATTAAGCAAATCAAAATGACACATTAAAATAGATACGAACTATTCAAAACAAGGGAAAGCATGTTTCATTCCCCAAGCTATGGCACACATAGAGATTAACTTACTGAAACAATTCATTCCACGAATCATGATGCACCTAAATAAAAACCCAAATTAAGATTTGATCTTAAATTTTTTTCATTAAACAAATCGAAATGACCCATTGACATAAATGCAAGCTATTCAAAACAAAGGAACGCATGTTTCATTCCGTTTCATTCCCCGAGCTATATTACAAATAGAGAATAACTTTCCGAACCAATTCATTCCATGAATCATGATGCACTTAAATAAATACCCAAATTAAGATTTGTTCTTAAATGTTTTAAAATACCTTGACCTAATCTTTAGGATCGAAATCAAAACAAATAAAGCAGATCATGAGGTTCAGTTCAGTAGCCTACCAAAGAAAAAAACATGACATATACCAAACAGCTATAAAGATAAACAATGAAATCACTTTAAGAAGCAAGAAAACCTAGCATTTTCTTTAGGTTTTCTTAGAAACCAAACAATTAGATGGAGAGATGGTTGTTTACCATGCGCGAGAACCAGGACCATAGTTCTTGGGGTGAGAGTTCCAAACGTTAGAGTGCCCCATGATCGACTGATTTCTCCACGAGAGATCTGAGAGCAGAGGGGAGCTAGACAGCCTATCAGAAAAACACTTGATTTGGGGGAGGAATGAAGAAGCGGAGTATTTATAGAAGGACTCAGAAACCCTAATTCCTAAATTGTACGGGGAGAGAGCTTCTAAAAATGAAAGAAGCTGTAATTTGGGCCAGACAGCCGGCTAAAAGCCTACGTTAGAAGGTGCCCAAAGACTAGGCCTGGGTTCGGCCTAATATGTTAGCCCAGCCCAGAAGAAACAGACGAAAGCCTACATTTAGTGCATTGTGGGTGCCTATTTTTAACTTTTTACTTATACATTAATAGTATGTTTGATTTAAATAGAATAAAAAGGAGGGGGAGGAGAGGGTAGAAGAATTGTATTTTTTTTATTTAGATAAATAAATAAATAAATTAAAAAAATAAAGGAAAGGGCTTTGTTTTTTTCTCTTTTCTCCTCTAATTTTCCTAGTAATCAAATAAAAAATTCTTTTTCTCTCCTCTCCGCTT